CAATCTGTATACCGTTTCCCTGAAACTGCTTCCTCTATTCTTTCAGTAACTATTTCCGACTCTTTGTCGCTGCAGATAGTTTGCTTTGAATTATGTCGTCTAGTTTCAGAAATTTACTTCTCTGGCAAAATTCAGCTTAAGGCCAACATGAGCCCGAATCTGGTCTTTGGTTTGCTTTAAGTCATGGCCAAGTAGTGCTAATAAAATATTGAAATAACCAGTTGAGAAGACAGCGATGATACTTATTTTACTTGGTCTCCAGCTTTAAAAAAAAATATGTTTTACAGATTGGCATAGCGAAGACACCCTTTCAAACAAATTTATCTTAAACAACCATAGTTACATGTGATTTTTTTTTAGCATGAGTAGTTAGATCGACCAAGCAAACGGCACGGCTTTCCTCCGCTCTTGTCCCTTCCCCTATCTTGTTTTCTTTTGCGAAGATCGGCATTGATAAGAATAGCGTAGGCCCTGACGACAGCAAACAGAGCTTGTTAGTGGTTGTCCGCACCAATTTAATCATAACAGTCTAACCCTCTTTTTTAAGAATGCAAACAAAAAGATGCCCTCCCCCTGAAAAAAAAAGGAGTAAAGTAGATTAGAGTATGACCATAGCACCTCTGAACTCACAAAGCCTGCCAGTTCAACGACGGAGTCATAAAGTGCCTGGTCACAGATTTGGAGCGCGAGGATTTGGTAGCACAGGGCATTAAAGAACCATTCCTCGGGGAACCTGGACGTCAGCACACAGCTTTTGCAGTGGCGAGTACCCAAAACATACTTTTTTCGTGTTTCGCGTCTGCTGCGGCGAGAGTCTTCTCCGTTGTATGTGTCCACCTTTTCCATTTCGGCGACCGCTCCTCGTGGATATCTGCCAGGTTTTGTCAGTATAAAGGAGGCTATGGTACGACATAAACTGGTGCTCTGTAGCGGAGCGCCATCCTGCTGTGTAATCTTTGGGCAGCCCCTTTGTCCACAGAACTCTGGGAATGTAGAGATTATCTATCCTACCTGTGACATTATCTGCAACTCACAAATTTCAGTGCTGCATTGCATTGTTTACAGCAAGGCATGCAAGTGAGTCATGTTTTTTTTTTTAATCCGCAAAACTTTCAAAAGGCCGAATTGTTTACCTCGGCAAAAACTGCACGGTTCGGGACACAGCCACGCAGGCGGCAAGGCGTTGACGCCAAGAGGTCCCGTTCTCTTTCCCTCGCTGGCTCTTGTGGTATCCTTGTCTCCGTCGACAGAAAGGAAAGCCCTTTCAGTGTCGTGCATACTTGAGCCTCCACTGAAGCAAAAATGATTCCATACGAACCTACTTGCCATTAAAGACCAAAGTTCACTTCTTCACTCTTATTTTATACCCAACTAATACAATGGTTTGTTATCAGGAACACCACCGTTAACTAGAAAACTCATTCGTAATGCAAGTCCTACGTAGTAAGGAATCATGTTCAAGGTCTAATTAAACAACAAGCATGGGCACTAAAGACACCCTCTCCTACATGGGTGGGTATTAGTGGACCCGACTTGGCTGACATTTGCGAGGTCTAGCTTGACAACATAATAAATGACATTGTTTCTGGTCACATTATTTTTTTAAATGCCTTGGCATTAGTTCTGATCTTAGACTGGTTTTGAGCACACCAATATAATGTTTGCAACTTCGCCATGGGAACCACGAAGTTCCTTCAAAACTAAATAGCAAGCTTACAATAAAATAACAAAAAAGTTGTACAGATGCACGAATATAATTATAACTGTTTTAATAATAATAATAATATCTTTATTAGCTTTGAAAAAATACAGGTGTAAGCGTGCTGGCCCACGAAAGCAAAGATGCTTGTATGTGGGACCAGGCAGCCAACAAAATACCGTGACACATTGAACACTGGAGAAACAAAACAAACAACAGCAATGTAGGCATTTGGACAACGAATACGCGCTAAGTAATTATTTAATTATTATTGCGCGAGCGTGAGGCACCATTCTCTTACATTTCGTTTTACCGCACGAAAGGATGACAAGTTCAGTAAAGATTCTGGCAAACAGTTGAACATCGAAGGGACATAGTATCGTTTTAACTTTTTTCCATAGTTTGCTTGTATCTTAGGGAGCTTGAACCTATCTGTACGCCGCAAGTTTCTTTTTTTTTACCTCTTGTTTAAATGTTCTACTATAATAATTACTTGTTATTATCACATATTTATGAAACTGATTAAATGACAATACTTCTAACGCGCGCATTTTTTCTTCAATGTCTAGTTTATCGAACACTGACCCGTAAGAAATATTGTTTACACTATATTTTATGATTCTATCAATTCCCTGTTTTTTGTACTCTGAACGATTCCCATATATCGTAATCCCATACCGTATAACAGATTCTCCTAGCGATCTGAAAATAGTTCTCCGCAAGTTTACAGAACATACACTTTTTAGCTTATAAAGGTACGCCGATACCACCCGCATTCTCTTAATAATGTATTCGATTTGTTGGTTCCAAAGGAGATGTTGGTCAAATATTAACCCCAAATATTTAACCGAGGAGTCATAAGGTAATGGTCTACACGTACAAATGTGTTGAGCATGATCATGAAGGTGAAGATATATGTTTGGTACTAGAGTAATTTGTTTATGGGGATTACGAAAACAAACTAATTTAGTTTTATTGACGTTCACAGAAATGAGATTACTTGAGAACCAGTTAACTAATACATCTATATCGCTTTGAAGCAGCGGAACCGCCTGGTTATAGTTGTCATGCGGTAGGAATAGAACGGTATCATCCGCGTACTGAAACATTCTAGATCGTAGTTGTAATAACCCTTGATCATTCACATATATATTAAACAATAACGGACCTAGTGTGCTACCCTGTGGCACGCCGCAATCGACTCTGAGTTTTGTACTAGTGCTGCTTCCAATTTTAACCATCTGAAACCTGTTTGTAAAGTAGTCAGTGAAGAATTTCTGAAACGGGCCCCTGAAACCATGCTTATTGAGTTTTGATAGGAGGAGTGCGTGATCAATTGTATCAAATGCCTTGGATAAGTCCAAAAACGAGGCGAGGGCTACTTTATTATTTTCAAGCGTTTCATTAACACAGTCCGAGAAAACTTCAAGTAATGAAATAGTGCTCCTTTGTTGCCTGAAACCGTATTGCCCGTCGTTCAATAACGAAAATCTCCCACAGAAGTCATTCATACATATTTGTACCCATTTTTCGAGAATGTGAGCAATTGTTGGTAATATCGATATCGGCCTATAGTTTCCTAATTCTTTCTTACTACCCTTTTTGTATAGCGGTCTCACTACTGACAATTTTAGTCTTTCCGGTATTTTTCCTGTTGTCAGGCATCCGTTAATTATAGCGAGGAGGACCAGTTTTACACTTGAAAAATTGTAGCGCAAATCCCTAATGCGTATTTGGTCTATCCCAGGGACTTTCGTTATTGACATTGAATTAATAATGTTCATCAGATCGTACTCATTTATTTCTGGTAGATGTGCTGAATTTACACAGTCAATTTGGTCAGCCGGTTCATCATTTACATGCACCGCTATCTTTTGTCTTAGGGCTTGTACGGTACTAATGAAACTGTTGTTCAAAGATTCGGCTAATTCCGTGTAGTTATCTAATGCTGGAAAATTCTTTCTAATTGTATCGTCAGTGTTAGTTTTTCTTTTCCTACCCATCAACTCATTCACGAGGTCCCATGTTTTCCTTGGGTTTTTCACAGAACTAAATTTGCTAGTATAATGATTTCTTTTGGCTAATCTAATTTTAGCAGTTAACTTATTTCTTAGCACACGATATTCGGTTTTTAAAGTGGTATTACCCGGATTTTGTTTACATCTATGCCATAACCTGTCTTTCAAATGGGATAGTTCTAAAATCTCTTCACTAATCCAGACATTTTCGTGTTTTCTTTGCTTCAATTTTACATTTCTGACAGATATTTTATATATCTCTTTAAATTTATCAACGAGTAAGTCGTAAGCGGTAACATGGTCATGTACTAATAATGAATTCCAGTCATACATACTGACAAGATGGTCTACCTTTTTGTTATCTAAAATGGTTTTAAATACCCTCTGGTTTGACATTCCATTTTTTGGACTTTCACCCAATATTGCTAATGCTACTAAATAATGATCAGCTACCTTTTGTTTAATTACCGCCGGCACTAATGTTGCATTACTAATTCTTATAACTATGTGATCAATGCATGACTTAGTTATTGTACTGCCATAATATTCCTCTCTAGTGTAATCGCGTATCACGTTCTCGAGCCCGAAGGAGGAAAGCGTGTCTAAATAGTTTGAAACCCCATACTTATTCTCGTTTAAGACATCTATGTTAAAGTCACCAGCCAGTATGATATGCTGGCTGCTATCAAATTGGCGCAATAATGGTGAGAGTTCCTCACAGAACATTTTTAAATTAGAATTGGGCGGTCGATAAACTGCGCATACAATATAAGAAATAGATGCCTTGTGAACAGAAATTGCGCAGAGTTCTGCATGGTCAAGGGAAACGCTAATTCGTTCCGACAAACAGCTATCATTTATAAACATCAGCAAACCTCCTCCCTTTTTTCTTTCCCGACAAAGACAGTACGAATGAAAACCAACCACACTATATTCCACACATGCTTCCTCTTCGATGTTTATTTCACTTAGTATCAATACGTCCAGGGACGACAGCTTTCCAGATAACAGAACCAATAGTTCGTCCCAGTGTTTGCGTAAACTTCTAACATTCACGTGTATCAGACTCAGTTTTCGATCGCTATTATCGTTTTCTGCTAACAAGTGTGCGATAAGACTCTCCCATTCTTGAATGGTGACGAATGTGCTTTCCATTTCTATGTTATCTTAGCTAAGTCTCCTTCGCATTCGATGCGAAGAGCACCGGCGCGTTCTTTTTGTCTCACAAAGATTTTACCGTTTCGCACCCACACAAACTTATATGACTTTGCTTTTGGGCATTCCTTAGTAGCCCACAGCAAGTTTTTCAGTGTTTTTGTTAGATTTTCGTTAATATAAATTTTTTCATTCCATAAGGTCACGCGCTTTGTCATCCAGAGGTCCCGTGTTCTCCTTTCCACAAACCTCACCAGGATTGGCGCTGTTTTTCCTTCCCTCGCCCCTAGGCGGTGAGCAGCCTCAACGTCCTCAGGGGCAAGTTGCGGCAGCTCGAGTTTATCGGCCAAGTTCTTTACAACTTCTAACATATTCTCGTTTGGTCGTTGGGCGATTCCATGAATTTCGATATTTTTGCACCGGGAGTACTGCTCCGCATTATCCACTGCTATCTTTAGTTCCCTGATTTGCAGGTCCTGCTCGGCCACTTTAGCTTCTAGTTGACCCGTCCTCTTTGTCAGCTCCTTGATTGTAGCGCACTGCTCATCCAGTCGTTTAAGAAGTTCATCGTACTTCCCTGACAGGGTGCTCATCGATGCATCAATTGCTTCGACAGTTTTCCCATGCGCATCTAGCTTCGTCATGATTTCATCGTCTTTCCTGCTTTGTTTTTCTAGAGATTTTTCAACGCCTTCCATCCTGTTTAGGATGTCTGTTAGTTTGTTATAGATAGCTTCGTTTGTGGGCAGCAACTTATCTACATTCAGCTCGAGGGAGCCACTCAAAGTTGCCCTCTCCCCTTCTGCGGGGCCGCGCTCATCGGACATTTCATACTGACGGGAAATATGAAGTTTGCACGTGTTACATTTCCACGCATTGACGTTCTCTGCCGTCATTGCCTGCAGGGACTTTTTCGTAACGCCAGAGCACTTCCCAGTATGGTATTTGTTTTCGCAATCTGAGCACTTTAGACTGAGACCCCCTGCAGGCAAAGAATTCATACATGCAATACATTCGTTTTCTCCCGCCATATCACAGTTTTTAAAGCAAAGAACACTAATAGGCAGACCAGCGAAATGCAAACCCGTAGGCTCACGCTAACGTATTGAGTCAAAATCAAGCTTACCTAAAACAGAAAAGGCAGCGCTTAGCTCTGGGCATAAGGCATCTCGCTGGTCTGCGGCGTGCTGTTCCGCGTTTGACGCTTTTGTAGGCGACGAAACCAGGCTCTCGGTGTCACAGCAGATAACCGTGGCGCTTGCGCCGTGGCCTGCTGCGGCTCGCTGAACTTCCACGTGACGAAAGCTGCCGATGACTGGGCAGCGGGCGATCTTGTTGCTTGTCCCTCTTGCGCTGGGCGCTGCTTCGCAAAGCCGAAGGGCTGCGGTCGTGGGAAATCAGACTTGACACCGTTTACCGACGATCGTCGCCTAAAACAGAAAAGGCAGTGCTTAGCTCTGGGCATAAGGCATCTCGCTGGTCTGCGGCGTGCTGTTCCGCGTTTGACGCTTTTGTAGGCGACGAAACCAGGCTCTCGGTGTCACAGCAGATAACCGTGGCGCTTGCGCCGTGGCCTGCTGCGGCTCGCTGAACTTCCACGTGACGAAAGCTGCCGATGACTGGGCAGCGGGCGATCTTGTTGCTTGTCCCTCCTGCGCTGGGCGCTGCTTCGCAAAGCCGAAGGGCTGCGGTCGTGGGAAATCAGACTTGACACCGTTTACCGACGATCGTCGCCTAAAACAGAAAAGGCAGTGCTTAGCTCTGGGCATAAGGCATCTCGCTGGTCTGCGGCGTGCTGTTCCGCGTTTGACGCTTTTGTAGGCGACGAAACCAGGCTCTCGGTGTCGCAGCAGATAACCGTGGCGCTTGCGCCGTGGCCTGCTGCGGCTCGCTGAACTTCCACGTGACGAAAGCTGCCGATGACTGGGCAGCGGGCGATCTTGTTGCTTGTCCCTCCTGCGCTGGGCGCTGCTTCGCAAAGCCGAAGTGCTGCGGTCGTGGGAAATCAGACTTGACACCGTTTACCGACGATCGTCGCCTAAAACAGAAAAGGCAGCGCTTAGCCCTGGGCATAAGGCATCTCGCTGGTCTGCTTGTCTATGCCCGTACCTGCTGGCATCCGTTTCCAGAAAAATCAACAAATACCAAAGGAATTCACATATTATACATCGTGAAGAGGCCTGCCGACAACCTGATGAAATGCCAAGAACGCATGAACTGCTAAGTTTTCCGTTCACTGCATGGTTCTCTAAAGGCCCGTTTACACTCTTGCGACCTCTTAAAACTGGTTTCCTTAAAACCTCTTACAACGAGAGGACACACTGGCGCCATCTATTGGGTAGCAGTGTAAACTTGGCGGTCCGGCATATTTACTATTTCTTTTGCGCATTATCCTTTTTTTCTTGGCTCGAAAAACTTTTGTCAACGTTATAAACAAGCCTTTCTTACAGGTATTACACACGTTTGACCTCGGAAATTCCGAGAAACCTTCGCTCTTGTAAAATGCAGTTCCAGGGTCACCGCATAGATGGCGCCACAATGCCCCCAGTGTGTACCCTCGTCCTAAGAACTTTTAAGAAGTTTTAACAGATCTCGTCTCTCTCGGTCGTACTCGGTTGCAAGAGTGTGAACGGGCCTTAAGACTCAAGTTTTTGCCAACTGTGTTCATTTTCTTTAATCTTGGAAAGTGCTGCCAAGATAGCAGTGCCCATGTATCCTCCCGAAGTTGCTGGTGCATGCTTGGGACACCCTCGGAAGCTTCTGCCGTTGACTTTGGAAACCTGTGGACGCACAGATACTGTGGTTCCATCCTCCAGCCAAGGCTACCCGCTTGCGATTGCACAGCTTTCGCAGTTAGTTCATGCTGAGGCGAGACGAGGTATAGTGGCATTTGCACATTCAAGATATCAAAACCCACCACATGTCGCTCCGAGCGGCATGATGATGATACCCAAGAGCTATATCGCGCATGGTCTATGAAACCTATATAATGCACGATGCTGAACCTGCCGATTTCTACATAGTTTAGAGCCGGGAAGGCGGACATGCAGCAAGGCACGCACCTGCAATTGCATCCACTTCAACTGGTGTAATGGGCTCCCTTCCCACGGCGCCAGACTTTGTCACGCCTGGAAGGTTGGCCTGTCACACTCCTATTGACCAGGTACTCGCCCTTGTAGAGGCACCGGGACAACAGGATCAGCAGCGCGAGTCAAACTTGGCCTTGCCTATGGCCCAGTCAAATTTTTCTTCTGGTAGGGAAACCCCACCTCGGAGGTAGCGCTGCAAGTGTAAAGATAATCGTAAATAAACAGGTGCTCAAGCAAGTTTTAGTGCCTGGACGTATTCCTCACTGGTGCAATTGCCATCTTGTTCCTCCCATGTATTAAGAGTTGTCCCAAGGAAGCAACAATGATGTTACAAAACCAAAAGTGTCATGCTGTTGAAAGTCAGCAGTTGGTCTTCAAACCTCTAGTGAATAAGACAAGCAGGCACAAGTGCCGCTGTCATCATGGCGTCCCAACTTGTTACTGTGAAATGACTGTGGACTGTCGAGGCACCGTGAAGAATGGTGCGGCAAACACACCGAATGGCTAACCCCACCTAAAACCCCTTGACGAGTTTGTGCTAGTTTCGTAAGTGGCATCAAAGCGCCTGAGCGGGAGGCCCGTGCAGGACTTGGAAGCAAATGGCAGTGTAGCCCTGAAATGAGAGGCACTTGGAAGAGAGTGGCAGCACGGTACTCACTCGTGGCACGTGTCTCTCGCTTTCAGACAATTAAGGCTGGACCGCATGTAAGCGATTTAGTGAGCAACGAAACGAGCATCGGCAACAGCGACGGAGATTTCTCACTGTCGCTTGTAACGCTGCTCGGTTCTTAAATTACTAGAAAACGTCGCTCATCACATTGGTCGCTTGCTCCTGTCGCTTTCATGCAGTGTGCCTCGTCGTGCGGCTGAGCGATAGCAAAATGGGTCGCCATCACTTGTCCCGTCTCTCCCTTCATGGTTGTCAGCGCTTGCAAAAATGTGAAGTGTGAAATTTATGTAGGGCTTTGTCCATGCCGGCTCTCAGACTGCTGGCAGAACTTTGGGTTTCAGTGAAATACGACCACATGGTTTCTCACTCTGCTTATGTACTGAGGAAGAAAGCTGACGAGGAAGTAGTTGAAAAATCAGTTCATGATCTCTTCAAGAAAGTTGCTCAAAACACCTCTTTTTCTGTTGTTTTTTTGGCTGTATACAGTGCCGTCCGACGGCACTCCACCCGAGCCTACAAGTGCCGTCCGAAACAAAGTCGAACAGCACATGTATCCCTAGGGAGCTCGTTAACCAACCCCCCGCATACATTCTTGCTGCCTCGCGGCAACAGTATGCGGCTGCTAATTACAAAACTATTAACCTACTTGGCCCCGTTGCACATGACGCCTCGCAGCGTCCAGCCCCTCTGTCCCATACCAAGCCCCGCTGTCCCCCATGTACCTCCGGAAAGGGACGCCCATACCATTTTGTTAAAGGGGCCCTGCAATCATATTTAAGCGCCTACCTTCTTTGCGGTTTCCACATCTCTGGGGGTTCGGGCAAGCCAGCGGGCGCGGAGAGAGTAACTAAATATCAGTGAGTCATAATTTAACCTGAAGACGCGGAAACCTCCTCCACCTACGAGGGCGACCCGCATTGCCGAAAGCGCGCAATATGTGACATCTTTGGTCCTGGGCTTACCACTGGTCAGAGCCGCTAAACGCTTTTTTTTAGTTGAAATACAAAATATAAGTGCCGCGAACAGTTTTAATTATGTATGAAAGTAGTTTTTTGTTTGGTAATTTAGATTAGAAAAGAAACAAATGCAGTTTATAAATACGGAAACAAGAAAAGACTCGTCGACAAACCCGCCACCAAGCGGCGGAAAAAACGGCGCATACTAGAAAAGGCTTGTGGGATGAGGCTCCGACGAACAGCGAGCGTAGAAAGGTCCCGGATGTACGCGGCGGTGCTGCGGTCGTATACTGGATCGAGGATTCGACCGGTTCCGAGCGTTCCGAAGGCTTTCGGCGCGGGCTTGGCTGGCGATTTGGCCATTTGGCGGTATGGCAGCGCGAAGTGGCTCCCGTTCTGAACTGATCTTTACACTGTGTTTGCTGTAGTTTTTGGCTAATGAAGTGTTATGCCGAATTAGTCGTTAATCGCGCAGCAAATGCAATGCAAGCCGCCCTGGCCACCCGCCTCATACAGCCTATCCAGAACATGTTTTAGTGGCGCCCTCTCGAGCCGTCGACACGGAGTGCGGCAGCCGTGAGCGCTCGATGAGCTCACTACTCCTCTAGTTCACGGCCACTCAAGCCAGGACCTACGACGTCATGACGAAGGTTATTTTTTGTTCGTTTTTGTAATTCTAAATTGCCGATAACTTTTAAAATTAAGCGAAATTTGAGAAAAGATTGAGTTACTACGTTCAGTGCGCTCAAGTTCGGTGCAAATTAAAAACCAGTCAAAAAGTTGTTGCAGGGCCCCCTTTAAAGGCAACTCCACTCAATTCCGAAGGTTTCGGGATAATGAGTGATTTCGAATTAAAAAGCCCTAGTAAAAGACACTACGTCGTTTGCTTCGCGAAAAATGGGATATATATTTTTAAATCTAATTTTAAACACGAGGGGAAATCGAAACCGAAACTTCGGCACCGTCCGGCAACATTGGCCTCGGGCCGCCAAGTACATGGCCATCACGTGGTACGAGATGTCACGTGATCATTGGCCCAACGACGGGCGGGATGGGGGCGGGCGTGCAGCAGGCGCGAGTGTCGTCTGCACCGCACTCTTCGCCACGTTTTGGTGTCTACGGCATTCGACGACGTCTGCACAACTGCGGCATAAGTCTGCGACTCTGCGCACGTGGTGTCC